CCAAAAGCCAAAGAATAAAAATGGGTTTTAAGCCGTGTTCTAAAACCCATTTCTATGGGTTTTGTTGATAAATGTTGCTTCTTAACACCTATTTAGATGCTGTTTACAATATTGTCCTATTGTTGTTTTGAAGTATGAAGCCTTAAATGAAGCTTATCTTTTTATCAAAACTTTATTTCCTCACAAAATACTTTCTTTCTCTCAGGTGAAAGACCCACAAACTTCTACGTGGGGGTGACACAACAGCACAGTGAACCGACTCTTCTGGTCCAATACCTGCTGGCCAACCTGACCGGCACCACCGTCAACATCACCCAGGACAACTGCCAGAACCAGAGAGAGGGCGAGGATGACAAAGAGAGCAAACATGTAAGATTTACAACAGTGTGTATTTTCTTGAAAGTCAACTTGGGTGTAAGTTGCCCTCTGGTAATTTAAGTAAGAACTTTAAAACCTTTGGAACATCATTTATCTAATTCCTCCCTTTAACACATTGTTCTCAACCTGTCCCTCAGATATACAGCTACATGTGGGTTCAAGGTGCAGCACCTCCCAACAGTACGGAACGAGTGGCATTCTGCGTTCGCTCCACAGTTCGTCTCTCCAAAGCGCTGTCCCCGGCCTTCGACCTGGAGGAGTACACCTCCAAAGATTACTCAACGTGGACGGAGTCCAGGTGGAAGAGCATTAAAGGGCGCATATTCCTGGTGGCCAGTCATGAACTGGAGGTAAACTTTTCCTCAAAGACACCACAGATGTGACTGATGCACACACACAGCAGAGAAGTTGTTCTACAACTAAAAAGTTTGATATGTGAATGCAATAACTCGAGACAAGGCAACATAGGATTTTGAAGTTGATACCATTGATAGTTGCTTCTACTAGCAGGCTGAGGGGTAGCACCGTTGGCATCCAGTACTTTTTTGTAAGCAGTGATCTCATTGTTAGTGGAGGGCAGGGATTGTTTTAAGGCACGCGAGTGCTTGTGGGAAAGTCTCATGTTGAAAAAATGGCTTCCAAACAGCAACAAGAGACCAAATTTGCATGGTAATTGTAACAGTGTCCATGATTGGTTGTTATTTTCTCTCTGATCTAGATTTTCTCACAGTAGTGTTTGTGATTTTAGCGGCCGATCCGGCCTAAACCAACAACTCCGGTTTCCAGAACTACAGCAACAAAAGAGCCTAACAACAAAAACAAAACTGGTTAAATCCTGGCAGTGACTGATTGCGTGCGTTGAACAAATTTCAGGTCTCTGCATGTTCATCAACACATTGTGCTAAAACAAATCGAAACTCTTTTATTTCAGTGTTGATACAATCCGATTTTGTTAATGTGGTAACTGCATCTCACTGCTTAAACTGGCGCCTTTGGGTTCACCGTTTGTATCACTGCAGCTTTAAAGTCACATGATAATGTGACTGAGTTATTTTTAATATAACAGCTCATCACATGAGTGCAAAGCCACAGGCAGCTGGAACTCGACTTCCCTCATTCTACAGTTTTACCCCTGTGATAGCTGGAATAATCGCTTCCACAGTAAAGCATTTAGAGGCTTTTTGGTTGAGAGCTACAATCGGAACTACTTGATGTTTAAATGTGACTATAAATAAAGGTGATGTTATCTTGCTGCAGTGTACACCCTGGGGGGTAACAGAAGTTGATACAGTAACTTTGTGGTATGTTTAGAAGTTAAAACTGCGTTTGAAAACCTTCTTGTTGTATCTGTAACGATTGCCCTTTCTCCTCCAGATGTTGACGCTCGGAGTCGGTGTCGCCGTGCTGATAGCATCCTTAATGTTGACGTACATCATCAGCTCAAAGGCCGACATACTCTTCAGCTCAGGGAGGGAGCCCACCGCTGCCACCTACTGATTCACTCAGAAGCGTCTCAGACCCACGACCACTACTTCTACTACTATTGCTACTACTACTACTTTTATCCCAACCAGACATGGACAGTTTTCTTTAAAACACACCACGAGTAGGTACACAGACAGGTTAGTATCAGCTGCATCGAGGTTGGGGGGGGGGGGGGGTTCCTTTTAGACGACAACTCCGTGTTTATGGACTCACTCATGTGAGGCGTGACATGAGGACTGGACCGGACTGGATTTGCCTGGATGGATCTGGACTCATCAGGGTCATAAAACACACTGGTCCGGCACCAGCAGGCCCTGCCAGTGGAAACGATGTTTATATTTTTTGTTTTAGGTTTTTTTTGTTTTGTTTTGTTGGTTTTTTTTCCCTTTTATCCTAAAAGAATGTTTTGTTTACTGTGTCATGGGATAGGCACTAAACATTGAGCATTACTTTGAGCTGTGTGTATGATTTTGAAAATGTGAATGCAGCCGTGTGTGTGTGAACAATTATAAGTGTGCGCACGTCTGTGTGTGTGTGTGAACTTTGTATGAGGATTGCGATGGTATGTGCAATACTGTAGCTGTCTTCTCTGTCAGTGTAGTTAACTTATCAATCAGTTTTAATGATAAGAAACCACTTTGTGAGTCAATGAGCAAGTAGTAATATTACAAATTTAACATTTTGCAAAATCTGGAAATGTGCAGTGAAAGATTTTGATAATAAATCAGTATCATTCAGTCCAAGTACACATGATGAAACTGTACTTGTAGACCCACTGCAGTTTCACATATTGTGATATTTGAATGGGAATTTTCCAAGAGTCTGGCATGGCTGAAAAAAACACTTTATTTCTCATCAGTCAGCGGCCATAATGTATTAAAAAAGCAGTCAGAAAGATCAGTTTTAGCAGTGAAAAACAACATGCTGGTACTCTGCCTTTGCACTCTTTGGTTTTTTTCCCAATGAAGTTTATTTTCTGAAAATTGTATGACACACGAGATTAGTGATGGGTGTTTGTTTTAATAGATGGAATTAAAAGACCGATTGTGATGCCTTGATGAAGAAATAAACATTGCTTCTTTTCCAAACTTGTATTTCACAGTCCTTTGACTTTGGCACAGAAAAGCAGGAAAATGTTGAAAAAGGGATCACAAGGATGGAAATTACTTTGTTCATTTATTTATTTATTTTTTATTAAACACACACAGGAGATGCTAATTTCCACTACTGCAAGACAAATGTACATTTAGAAAGTACATGGAAAGGCACTGGCTTCTAAATTGCAACATTAACAAAGCATCTAAATCACTGAGAGGAAGACCCACTAGACTAGAGCAAGTGCAGCTGACAGCTTCAAGCCTTCATCAGATGCAGGATCCATAAATTAGGCCTCGGTGCAGCTCCTCAGTTCATCAAGCAGTTTTAACTCCCTGCCCCTCCTTTCTTTAACACCGCTTTTTATTCTGTTTGGTACCCCCCCAACACAGGTGTCACAATGTTACCCACTGCCACTATTGATGCCTGTGAAGCCTCTGGCTGTTTTGAAGTGGATGTGATGAGCAAGGAGTGAATCTGACTATGAAGCAGAATTGATTGACATTTATCCTGGATAATCCTTTTTTTTTTCTGACTCCAGCAGACTTCACGTTCTTTTCCGTATAAACTTGAACTACTAATTGTGCGCAGCAGAAAAGTGTTTACTGAAGTCACAGAGTGAGGGAGCCAATAGTTGTTTTTTGACCTTCATAGAGCTGGATTTGCAACTGGAGGAGTCGCCCCCTGCTGGCCATTAAAGGAATGCATGTTTAAGGCACTTCTACTGGCTCGAGTTCTCTGACCTTCAGGGACTTTCGCACTTTTGTGCGTGTCAGTCCTTTGTGGTTGAGATGACCTTGCTAAGAATATCCCCTCGTCATGATGTCACACAGATCCAAGAGTGGAAAAAACTCTTAAACTGAGTGCTTAAAGCAGTATGAAGCTTTGGCTTTGGCTACCTGCACACATAGTTTGAAACTTTGGTCATGTTTAATATGATCATCCATCCATTATCTTCCTCTTAAGCCAGCTCACAATGACAGCAAACGAAGGTTTTGATAGACTCAAAAGGCGGTTTTTGAGTTGATAATTTTTTAAGAGTCCTTGGGAAAAAAAGCAAGAAAGTAGAGATCCTCCTTAAAAGAAACACAGTGTGACTTAAGTACTGTAAGTAGTTAATGGTAAACCCTAGCCTGCATTTTGTTGGAAGGTAGTTGTAAAACAAATATTGTAATATTTTTAGTAAGACGCAGTACAGAAAAACCTCTGCCAAGGATCCTCTGCCATATCTACAGTGAGATTATTTTGAGCTACAGTACTGTGAAAAATGTTTGAGTCACCCTTAATTTCTTTATATTTTGCTGGGAAAATGTAAAATACGTGCAGCGATTTGCAGAAACAAGTCTCTTAGGTAAGCTCTCTTCTAATTTCTGTAAGTAGTCATCATGAATAGTCCTCCAGGCTTCTTGAAGGACATTTGGCATACCTCAACATTTCCTCCCTGTTTCCCTTTTTAAAGAATGGCTTCTTGATAGCCACCCTTCCATTTCTGACGAGGCTTCAGTGAAAATGGATCAACTGGCAAGGACATGTGCCAGGTCTTTGCTAGAGTCCAACCATTTATTAATATACATTATCCATGTTGTACAAATCCGTGGTATAATACAAAAAATGTTTTCTTCTTACCTCTAAACTATACGACATATTAAAACCTGTTCGTGCTGCATGTCTGGATTCGTAACCATCTTCTTAGCTGCACGGAGGTCAGGAGGTTTGAAAGCATCTAATGATGATGGCGCTTTTAGAGGACTGTTCCCGTCAGCAGCTCCATAAACCGCCTCTCTGTTTTAAGAGCCACATTACTCTGTCCCGGTCCCTCTCATCGAGCGCACACTCTCAGAGACATCAGCGCGGTGATAGATGCGCCGTGGCTGAACCACACTCTCTCACGGGCCTGGTCCCCCAGGGGGGGAACAGAGGAGGGGCCAGAGTGAAGCGGAGGCGGGGCGCACGGTGCTACGGCTGAGTGGAAGGAGAGTGGAAAGTAAGAAAATACCTGAATGGACGATCCGGAATAAGTAAGTAGTATTTCTTTGCGGAAATGTGTTAAAATGTTGGAAGTGGTGCTGTGGATGCTTGCGCGCTGTTGTAACGCGGAGAGGGGAGCTGGGAGGCTTCGGGGCGCCGGAGATCTCCGGTTTCCCCAAACAATAGTCGAGAGGACGCGATGGTCGCCCTTTTTTTTTGAATCCGAAGGGAAGTTTAGGACCCTCGTCGGCGCTATTGTTGACCCCACGGAGGCCACGTAGCTCCCTGGATCGATTTTAAACGTGGGAGGAAGAGTTGCCTTTATTAATGTGAACAGAAGCGTAAAAAAGGAGACTGAGAGTGATGCGCCTGGAAGCAAAGAGCGCGTCCAGTGTGACTGCAGGCCGGAGGGTTTGAATTTTGTCCTCGGCGAAGGGCTGGTGGGAATTTCAGTGCGTCCATTCATTTTACTGCGAGGGCGTCCCATTTGGAAAAGGGGAAAGAAAGGGAGCGGGCGTTGGGATCATTTGGCATCAGGACGCCACCGGTGGGGCCTGGGAGTCTCCCATTGTCCTGCCTTTCTCCAACACCCTCCTTTTTCATCTTGTAGGTCGCACAACTCTTTATACTCGCCCGGTTCTTCGCAGTAAGTTAGCCTTTGGTGGCTCTTTGTGCATGTGGAATATTGTTGAAATATTAATGAACGCAGCTCGACTCTTGAGCCACGCTGCCGTAGCCTGCAGCACGGTGCTAAAATGTCTAAACACAGGCTGTAATTCAAAGTGAAACAGGATAACGTTGCTGCAGCCGAAACAGGCCCTGATTACGCACAGATCCAGTGCTTGAAACGTCTGTTCGCCCTTCAACTTCTAATTTCTAAGATTTGAGTCCTGCTTTTGCGAGATAAAACTACACAATGCTATCACCAGGCTTTAAAAAATACCACAGAATGGCTGTAAACTGCTTCCAGTGGGGATGTTTTAGTGATAAAACGGGTCGTAAACATAGCAGGGGCTCAGTGGAAATGGACTGAAGAAGGAATTTTACACAGTGATACCACAGAGATTAAGAAATATGAAGCACAGCTGGTTCATTGTAGAAGTATTGGTGCCCATTAATTTAGGAAATCTGAAGTATTAAGAAATGCTGGCAAAAATCAACTAGATTTCTCTCCTTATTGTTAGTTAAAATAAAAACTCCAGTATTTTATGTAGAAACATGTTTGGTCTGACCAGGAGTCTTAAACCCAAATACTACAATATTATCAAACAGAGAAAAACACCAAGACCTTCCATATTCAAGAAGCTGATGGAGAAAACGTTAGTTTTCTTTCTTGAAAAGCAGAAAATGTTAGACTTTACTCCTTTAGAAATAAACTGAGGTTTTACTTAACAATTCAAATTGTCCATTGGCCCTTTTCATCTGTAAATTGACTAATTTACCATTTCAGCTCTTCAGACAGCCTGGCTTTCTGCTTAAAGGGTCTGTCCACACAAACACAGAGAATACAGCTTGTCCTCTGACCCCCTGCGGTGTGCCTTCTACTTTGGTTCAATTAAAGTATAAGAGAAGCATGACAACTAGTAATGTGAGTGCAGAGAGAATTGTGCATGTATTTTCAGGAAACAGACATGGTAGAAGGTTTCTATCATGTCATATTTGTGTTTAATCACATGGAATCACATTTTGTTTTCTTTTTAAGTCAATGTGGTTGCTTCAGGTTGAAAAAATGCACAAAAAAGCTTCCAAATGTCTTGTGATAAAACATAATTTTGGATGTTTAAAGCACTTAAACAAGGAGTCAAATTGATGTTTGTCAGGTGACTCACAAATTAAGTCTTAATTAAGAAATTGCCGCAATATCTACATTAATATTGTCATCATGAAAAGATTTCAGTGCTCAGAAAGTGTTTCCTGAAGGGAATACGAGTGTTTTCTTATTCAAAATAAATGCATCTCTGTTTGACTCATACAGCTCTTTTTGACTGCCTTAAAAAATGCAATAGTTTCTGACTCCAGTCTGATCGCCACATTTGAACTTCTGCTGTTTTTATAGTCTCTGACAGTGAATTATGACACGCCTCTGCATTTTTGGACTTTTTCAAGCAACTCCTGACGTTTTATAACCCAAACAAAGAAAATAATGATGCTCTGACTTATCAGTAACACATAGTTGGCTGCTGTTGTTAGACTCGCCATAGTCATGACTCATGAATCATCTCAGCCGCTTCCTGTCTCTGCAGTACTTTTGTTTGGATATGAAGACAAATCTATACAGAGTCAGAAGACAGGCCTGTTGATTCAAACACACCCTATTAGATTTTCTCACTCGCACACACGCGCACACCTGCTCCCGTTTGCTCGCCGTGTGTGCAGACCTGGACAGAAGCAGTTGTCTTGTTGTTCACTGGTTTTACTGATGTGGGTGGCGGTCTCTGTTCTGTCTGTGTGTGTGTGTGTGGCCCTTGTTACACTGATGAGCCTCTTCCCCTGTTGGACCCTGGGCGTGTGCATGCTTATTTTCACAGTTGGTGGACTATATCTGGCCTAAAATGGCTATGGAGCGGAGCTGGTCACTTCAGAGGTGTCCCGGCTTGCTTTTCCGCCCTGACAGCTGCCGTCACAGTGCAAGCAGCTCCAAACTTTTTGACGGCAGCTCGATTTCTTTTTGCCATGGGGAAGGTAGCTGTAAAATCTTCCATGTGCTTGTTTTGATTACCGTGTGACTAGATCTGCACGCTTGCAGCAAAATAATTGCACTGTTAATGGTTTGATTTCATTGTTGGAATCATTTTTATTGATGAGCATAACCAAAATGGTCTTCTATGAACGTCTGCACTGTTTTAAGCTGTATAGTTACTTTAAATGATGCATGAAGAAATGCATATGAAATCCAAACTGCAAGCCAAAGATGTTTAAACTATGGATTTGACTCAGGAGCGTTGTTGCTTTGAGCTACATTAATTGATTTTGGATGCACTGAGTCATAAACCAGATTGATTTAAATTGAAAACAAAAGGAGTTGGTACAATAAATTCCACAATAAAAAAAATAATGAAGTCGATTTTAGCTGTTGAGGATTGGGACCCTGTGTGGAGGCTGTGTTGTGTGCATATGAGATTTGGTTCCTTCACTCAGGCTTGAATGTGTTTGTCTTCTGTTTTCAGAGGAAGCTGTTGTCTTTGCTCTCAGTTGATGGCGCATATTAAATGACTTTACACTCCCTTTGGCCTGAGCCATAAAACCTTTGAGCCGTGGCTCTAGTAGGCCTGAAGCCCAGCATCATAACTGTTTAATCTTAGACCACACACACACACACACACACACACACACACACACACAGAGGTTTCTGGACTGGCTTGCAGTGGACAACCCTGGTGAAATCGGTCAGAGCTTTTTTATTTTTTAGAAATTTGACTCTTTTTGCGTAAGACTATATGGAAAAAGTCATACCGGTATTTGGTTAACAATGTCAGGAGGAACAATGGCTTAGCTGGATGAAAAGAAACGAACCTTTTGTGTAAGGTGCTAATCAAAAACTAGAACCAGTGGTAGGTTGTTATTGCTTTACTGAACAGATTTGTGCTCAGATGTACTTTTACACTGTGGGTGTGTGGTTTCCTTTTTTTTTTTTCTTTTTTTCTTTTTTTTTTAATACTAATGCTGCTGATTAAAGATGGAAGGCGAGAATCCTCTTGAAGTCCATGAAGTAGGTCATAGAGGACGGTGGGATGAATAGGAAACCTTATCCATCTTAGTACCGGACCACACCTTTGTAGATCAAGTGTTCAGTCATATTCTCACTATCAGGCCAGCACACAGGCAGGTATGGCAACAGGATTATTTCAGACTGTAAAGGTCAGCAGACCATGTGCAATCTAGATTTACTCATATCAAAATTTTCTGGTAGCTTAGTGCTTTAAGCCACTTGAAAGTGATGTAATATTTGCAACTTTCTTTTCATACTTTCTTTAGAGAGGACGGGCCTTTTGCAGGCCTTACTTGCAGAGACGGCCCTGTGCGCTTTACTTTTTTGAAGCATATGTCTCTCATTATACGTATAACAGGCTGAATGTAATGTTTACAAGAAACTGCTTTATCTACCTCAAAGGTCAAATGCTGAAAGATGATGTCAGCGTTTCAGCATAAAAACAGAGTTAATTTTACACTCGACTCCAGTCTTCGTACAGAGAAATCATTCACTGAAGCTGAAAAAAGGCCTTTTTTTTTTCTTTTCTTTTTTTTTTAAATTGACAGGAGCCCCAAAAACCCAGAATGCAGTGCTGCTAGGGATCCACCAATTTATCCAAGTTTTACATCATCCAGCAGTTATTTATACTGTACAAGTCAATTTATGTTACGTTATTTAGAACAGGTAAAATGCTTCAGAGAGCTCTAGTCTCCTTACCAGTCGGCAGATATCGTCCAGTCACAAATTTAACATTATTGCTCATGTTTACTTGGATACTGTCAAAACTTTTTTTTAAAGAACACAAAGCAGAAGGACATGTTTGGAGAGTAATTTAGATAACGCATGATCACATAGCTTATCCTAATTGCGAAAGCTGCAGCAAAGTAGCATCACAGCTGAGCAAACGGTGGAGTCAAACAGTGCGTCAGTGCTCACTTGTTTGGGAAATGCAAAGTTGAAGAGTTGAGAAACATTAACCCCGTGTTTATGTGCCTGTGCATGTAAAACTCAGCAAAACTCTAAAACATCCCCAAATATTAAGTTCAGTCCTTCACAGCCTCTGTGTGCAGCTTCTGTGACAGTTCACATTTTGAGATTCTGAAGTTCCCTTTACAGCTTTGCTACTTAAATACTGATTTTTAAAGGTCAGATAGACTATACCCAGTTCAGTAGTTTGCAGCAGTGATTATGATTGTGAATGCAGTCTTTCATTCTTTGGAGAATACCAAATGTTTATCGATACACCATAGTAAGTGTTATCATGCTAATGTTTTTCATTGTTGCACAGTCTTGGTTTCAGTGTATGTTGTCATAAATGTTGTGGTTAAGGGTAAAAAGTCATTGTGCCATGATGTGAGTGACTGGAATAGAAGGACACTTGGCAGGAAACAGAAAATGCAGGAACTTAATTACAAACATTACCCTGCTATGTTTGCTAGGTGTGTGAGCAAATGTGTGTATTTAGCCGGAGCGCTTTTGTGAACAGTGAGCTCTGCTTGTCTGTGTATTCTACATGTCGTTGATTCAGAGGGTTTCACAAGAACCATAATTACCAGTTAAATCATCTGCTACATGTTTTTGAAAGTTTATCTTCTGTTTAATCTAAATTAAACTTTCATATCAAATCCTAAGATCCATGTTTTAGATGTAGCCGGTAGGTTTCTCCAGCTAACTTGGCTATCCTAATTTCTGAGACGTTAGTTAGTTAAATGCCTTTTGAATTATTTGTTGTCTTTCATTAAGATGCCATCATCAGGCACGAAATTTCTCATGACCTCTTAAGTCCATCTTTCATTGACTTGTAACTTGAAATCAAGTCTTAACGTTCACAATGAATATTCGCTGTGTTAAATAGTAATACTTTCATTTAATTATCTTACCTCTTTGAGAATATGTCAATATTACCTGAGTGCTTTCACGCTCTGCTGATGATAAATCTTTTTTGTTTTTCCCCC